GGATATTCTGTTAAAATAACGGACATTTTTATTAAAGATAATAAATTAGATAAAATTAAAATAAATGTGAAAGATAATAAATAAAATTAAAAGAATTTAAATATAATAAATAAAATTAAAAAAATATAAAAATTAATAAATAATTTATTAAATTAATTCATAAAAAAATAATATACAAATACATACAAGGGTTTTGCTAACTTTTATTGATCAGTTTCTGAATGTTTCTTCGGGTGGGGTTATTGCCACAGCCATTAATGTTAATGCCACAGCTTTTTTTAGTTATTTGACTGTTATACCCCTCATTTGAATCCAACTTGCAGCAGTCACCATCTTCTCCGCGTGGGTTAATGGTCAAATAACTGAAAAAAGCTGTGGCATTAACATTAGTGGCTGTGGCAATAACCCCACCCTGTTTCTTCTGGAGTATTAACTTGTCCATGTCATTTCTTTACTGCAATTTCTGCACAGCTTTTAAGGCCCTCTGGCACATGCATGTCATAAATGCATACTAACCCCATAAAACTTGGCCCTGGAGACTGGAACTCTGAAAATTGAATTTCCATTGAATTGCGTAGTCTTAAAATACAATTTGAATGCGGTTGTTTGAAAGCTGATGAACACCGAATGAAGTTATTCCATGATTTAGACTCCCTATCCCTTGTGGGCTGCTACCTACCACTCTAGACTTTGGCTATGTCAGTCTCTTGACAGGCTAAGTAATTGCAAGTCATCATTGGGACTTGTAAAATGTTTTCTTCAGAGACCAACTTCCTAAATAAGAATGCAGGGCACTGACATGCATTGAGAACTAAGCTTTCAAATAGAATCGAAAATTACCAACGGGCCTGAGGCCCAATAATTGGTCCCAAGCCTTAAAAGTTTGAGTGAGGTGAAACTCTGCCTTATATGAGGGGTGGAATATTCACTATTCTAAAAAATCTCAATTGTTAACAAACTAACTCTACTAACTTCTTAACCATTACTTTGTCAAAAAAAAGAATCGAAAATTTGTCTTTGCTCCTCCTTTTTACCATCCCTCTTCTTGCTCCTACTAATAAGCGCCCAGATTTCTCTCTCTTTTCTCAACACTCTATTGGGCCCAAAATGTTCTTATCTAACTTGGATGTACTTTGAAATGCCATTCTTATCAAAATTCATGGTGGCCATACAGGGTATAATCCAAAAACGGCGCCCATGCCAAGTAACATTGAGAATGAGATTTGTAGTGGCAACCCTGGACGGTAGAGATGAAAGTTATCAAGTTAGTTGAGGAAGCATCTTTGGCATTAAAGCTTCATATCATTAATGTCTTCATTCTGCTATAGTTTTGAACATTTTTTGGAAAGTTGAAGGATTGTGGTATTCATTTTCAATCTTCATGTGATTTTTGATTGATGATCAACTCAGCAACAATAATCTGCTTCCAAATTTATTATCAGTGCTGCAATCTCAAACTTCTATGGTAGGCATGCAACCACAAACTACATGTTTTAGTCTGCTTAAACTATAGATTTGAATACACTTTAGGCAATGAGCATCATAGACTAAGCTTGACAGGAGGTTAAGAAAAATTTAGTACCGCAACAGACACCTTTACAGCAATTTAATGCGCAAGTCATGCTTGCTTTTCCATGGAATTAAACATGCTTCAGATTTGGTTTGAACTTTGATAAGTTTAATTCTAAGAAAACATGTCCCAAGCATTTATTCAATTTTATGTCTTCCCTTCAATCATGTCATTGCAGCAGAGCTTGGCTAAGGGCAGCAAATTTTGTCAAAAGTAACAGCAATTACTTCTTCATTGGAGGTAGAAAGCCATAATCCACACAAGCAGCAATTGTTTCGTGAATTAAGTCTTCTATGTTATGCTTGAAATTGAAACCTAAATCCCTCAACTTCTTTGAAGAAATCTCTGATGGTACTGAGCCTTGGTGATCTGCCTTCAACCTGGAAACACACACAAAAAAGGACATGAAACTACAAAAATTCTCTTTCAAAATTTTGATCTAGGCCTTAGTATTGTATCAGAGAATTACCTTTGAATATTAGAGCAAGGATACTCTTGAGCAAGAAGACTGACCAATTCAGACATCAGACAACTGCTGGTACAACACATGTATTTACCTTGTGCATTGCCCTGCCTCATCAGGAAAATGTGGGCATTGCAAATATCTTCAATGTGAGCTAAAGCAATTGATCCCATTCTAGCATTTACAGCAGATAGTATTGAGTAGAACTTGGGGTCCCCTGTAGATGTAGCCAAAAGTTGTCAATTACAACATCAACGTATCTCAGTTTTGTATGTTCATTTCTTTTGTTTAAAATTCAAACATCTTGATCTTATTTTTCTATTCATGTTATGCATATTCTTATGACAATTTATTTATGTTACTCAATACACTGAAATGAATTTGGATGGAAGATTAGTCTGTAACGACCTGTGATAGGCGACAAGAGCACTTGAATACTTGATGGAACAGTTGATGTGAGGAAAGGACCAGCAACGGTTGTTGTTATCACTGAAACAAGATCAATGCCGTTGTCCTTTGCAAACTTGAATGCTGCTTCCTCTGTCAAAAGCTTGGAGAGCACATAAACCTGGAGAAATTAGGTCTGTTTCTGTTATAGAAAGAACATTTCTCATACCTGTTAAAAAAAAAAAAGGAAAAAAAAAAATGAACATTTCTTGTACAAATTCAACTGAAGCAAAGGGATTGGGAACTTTACCCATCCATTTGGTTTTGTATTCAAAACATTATCAACAGGAGTTTGGCAAGATTCATCAACAACTGGTCTGTATTTTCCAGTGTTGTCTTTGGCAGTGATAGTACTGATGGAGGAAGTGAACACAACCCTTTTCACTGTCTTAGATTTCAAGCAAGATTTGAGGAGGTTCTCAGTTCCTTTGATTGCAGGTTCAATGATGTTTGACTGAACATAAGCCTCTTCATGTATAGGAAAGGGATTATGTGTTAAGACTACTAACAACTTTAGTACATATATTTTTTTCTCTTTTTATAGGGATGATAATGAACACTAGATATTGAACGGAGAGAAAGAAAAGGTGGGCATTACCAACATTCTCATTTGTTGGGATATCAAACTCCATTGAAGCTGCTACATGGAAGACACCGTCACAACCCTTTACGGCATCATCAAAGCTCCCTTCTTCTAGCATGTCAGCTCTGAACAATCTCAGCCGGTCACCACCGGCCCACAGTGACAACAGATGGAGGGCCTTTCCTGTGATATGAAACGATTTGCATGAAAATAAGCATATGCACTCAAAGCGGTAATTAAGGGTGAACATAGACCTCGAGGATGGATGTGGACTCTCACCCTTTACCACTGCACCAAAGACTTTAGCTCATTGGCAATATCTTTGTTTTCATGTGCAAATAGATTTATTTTGTGTGTTACAAACTTACAATTCACCTCGGAATGGGATTTGAACTTATTGGAACATTACAAGAGGAATTTAGACTGGCATATTTTTCACTTGGACAAATAAATAATGAAAAAAGTAAAGAATGGGAAACTCTAATATTTTTCTCATTAAGGGTTGTCTATATATACAATACAATGAGATATTGGGGCTGAGCCATACGTACAAGATGGGCTATATACAATGCTATATTTATAATATTCTATCAAAGAGTGATATTGGGGGCCATATATCATCCATCCAATTATTTCTATTTTACTGAAATTTCGATTGCAAAATAAACTATTTAATTACTAATTTGATCCTAACAGTCGGTGAAAAAAAAATTAAGGGGCCCAATTTCATGTATGATCAATATAGGCTTGAGCCCAGGCTTAAGAAATGATCGGGCCAACAGCAGAAATAATTAGGGGTAAGCATTTTTGGGTATAGTTCAAATATGAGTTATTTTTTATATTTGATTTAAAAGTTTTTAGGTATAACTTTTTAGATTTGATACCTACTCAAATACTTAAAGACCTATATTTGATATTTAATCAAATATGTATAAGATAATTAGCAGCAGATATATACTTATGTAG